ATGCTGCCAGTCAGAGAGATTCGGGAGCCGTATACAAGACATTGAACAAGTCATGCTGCCAGTCAGAGAGATTCGGGAGCCGTATACAAGACATTGAACAAGTCATGCTGCCAGTCAGAGAGATCCGGGAGCCGTATACAAGACATTAAGCAAGTCATGCTGCAGTCACAGAGAGATTCGGGAGCCGTATACAAGTCATTGAACAAGTCATGCTGCTAATCACAGAGAGATTCGGGAACCGTATACAAGACATTGAACAAGTCATGCTGCCAGTCACAGAGAGATTCGGGAGCCGTATACAAGACATTGAACAAGTCATGCTGCCAGTCACAGAGAGATTCGGGAGCCGTATACAAGACATTGAACAAGTCATGCTGCCAGTCACAGAGAGATTCGGGAGCCGTATACAAGACATTGAACAAGTCATGCTGCTAGTCACAGAGAGATTCGGGAGCCGTATACAAGACATTGAACAAGTCATGCTGCTAGTCACAGAGAGATCGGGAGCTGTATACAAGACATTGAGCAAGTCATGCCAGTCACAGAGAGATTTCGGAGCCGTACACAAATCATATCACAGAGAAATTTTGGAGCCGTATACAAAACAATAGGTCACACCAACCACAGAGAAATCCGGGAGCCGTGCAGAAGACTTGACAAAAAATGTAATGTAGGTGGACAACAGACCCAACGGTCTTACATACATATGTATTGGTATTTATATGCGAAACAACAACGCTGTTTTTTTTTTGTTCTTTTTACAGAAAATTAACCATATAGCCCATTTTTTTATGCAGTTTAAATCAAGTATAAAACTTGGGTATTACGTTATCATCTATTTTTTTCACGTATTTCGCATTAATTAACCATTTCTTGTTAGATAAAACAACCAATATCGGGGGACATTTTAAGTCTTAGAAATTTTCATCTCCCTCATTATTTGATTAATGTCGTTATCTAATTAATGCTTTGTTTGTAGGCGATCCTATTGCCGAAGTGACAGAGAAAGGATTTTGTCTAACACGAGCTACTGTGATAACGGCCGCTGTGGTCGTATGTATCCTCCAGGTGGCGCTGGTCTGTTTCTGTATCCTGCACCTAGTTTTCAACCGGAAGTCACGTGGATATCCCAGCAGCACCCGCCAGATTATCAGCCGCGGATCCACTACTAGCAACATGAAACTTTTCAATAATAAACCATAGAAGACGTTTTTATACAAATGTGCCTCTTTCGAATACTAAAATGTATGTTTGTGCGAAAACGGAAATGACGTAACGGAACCTGGTGTTTCAAGTTTTTTTTTCATTATTCTATAATTATAGGCTTATTTTTAAATTTCCACGATATTAAGTTAAATATCATTCTAGTTTTGAAAGCAATGTTTATAATAATGGCCTTGATATGTTTTATAATGCTAATTTATTCTCAAGGAAAATGTTATTTCAAAGCCAAAACGTCAGACATGTACTCGGAAACCTTTTGATAACTTTAAATTGTATAATTTTGATGGTGAGGTGTTTTTAAACCTTATTTTATCGATCTATGATGTAAATACAAAGTTTCGGATTTAGTGTTTTCTAACAGCACATACTAACCCTAACTGTGTATTCTTTATTTTGTTACGTATTTATACATCTTGATGTTCTTCAATTCACTTCATGTAGTATCATACACAGAAGTCTTGGTTATTTCTAAAATATTTTAAATGTCACACCTGAAAAAAGTTACTTTAGGCAATCAGAAACCGCTTTATTAACCAGTTCGTTTTTGTAGTAGACAGTTTTAAATGTCGCACCTAAATACGGTTACTTTAGGCAATCAGAAACCGCTTTATTAACCAGTTCGTTTTTGTAGTAGACAGTTTTAAATGTCGCACCTAAATACGGTTACTTTAGGCAGTCAGAAACCGCGTTATTAACCAGTTCGTTTTTGTAGTAGACAGCACCTAAATACGGTTACTTTAGGCAATTAGAAACCGTTTTTTAACCAGTTTGTTTTTGTAGTAGACATTTTTAAATGTCGCACCTAAATACAGTTACTTTAGGCAATCAGAAACCGCTTTATTAACCAGTTCGTTTTTGTAGTAGACAGTTTTAAATATCGCACCTAAATAGTTACTTTAGGCAATCAGAAACCGCTTTATT